GCGTAGAGTGAAAGTCCAGAACGACTCTGAAAAATGAGTTTGTCTTTGCAGTTGCCTGGGAGAAGTCTTTGAGTACAGTGTGCTTGATTTTACTTATGCCAGTCTAAATCAGGAATAACTTACGGTAGCTTTCTAGGAAGAGGAAACGGGAAGAGAAAACACAATTGTTTTTGTAAAGCAGATGGAATATAAGGAGACAAATCTGGATGCAGGAATGGAGGCACAGCTCCATTTCAATAAATGTTATGCAATGACCTTGCCTCTGTTTATGCTTGGTCAGACGTGGATTCTGGAAGTGCTGCAGACCACGTGCTGTGGCTGTTGTTCAGGGACACCTTACTCCTCCAGTAGTCTCACAGTGGGCTATTTGGGGTGTGAGGAACCAAACAAGATGGGTAAGAATAGCATCTGCCCTTATATAAATGCCAACTGCTGCCACTTTTGATTGCGTTTATAGACAGTGTCCCTGGCACATGTTCATCTGCTGTCCTGTCAGTTTCCTTTAGGCACAGCCCAGCTCATCTCCTGTGATGCAGTGTGGTAGCTTGGGCTCAGCCCAGCAGCATTGGGTAGGACAGACCCCAGCTTTTTAACCTGCATCCCAGGGAACTGCTTCCCTGGCTGTCATCCAAGGATGACACACTGTTGGTGTCTCACTCAGGGCAGTGAAACTGAGCGTGGCCTCTCCTGACTGCTTGTCAACCACAGCGTGGCCCTGCTGCCCTCAAAGGGAGGGTTGAGGGTGAGCAGAGGCTGTTGATGGCAACACCATGTAAGCAAAAATACGGAAATCCTGGCCAGAATAAAGGAAGAGGCAAAAATACAGGGAAAGTCACGGTCAGAGGGCAGCAGAAAAAAACAGGATTCCAGTTCAGAACTCTGATAACATAGTTTAGACCCTACAAGTCTATAGGTGCAGCTAGCGTCTTGGGCTTGTGTTTTGCCCTAGGCTGTCAGTCTTTTGTCATCCCTGCCACAAACATAATTCACACTGTGGTTTGCCCTGGAAGAAACCAGCAAAGTCACATGGTGGGGAAGCCTAGATGCCAACTAGATTATCCCTGCTCAGGAATAATCCATGCTGTGCTGCAGTCTATATACTAGCGCAGATCTGTGCCAGATCTGCTTTGGTCACCTAAACATGGCCTAGCAGACAATACAAACTTCCAGACTTACTGGGAGAAGCACCTATGTTGGAAGGGCCTGTCCAGGTACAAGGACAGCTCTGGCACCAGTGTGCTCCCATAAAGTGTAGTGTGAATGTCAGCTCCTCATGAAAAGGCTGTGAGAGGTGAAAAGGGCTGTGAGGCTGGAACAGAACGACTGTGAGCTGTTCTGCACACCTTGCAGGAGCTCTCGGACGTGTCTGCTGAACACAGTATAGATGTAACCTGAGAGACCATGTTTTTTCTGTGACTGACATCTGCAACAGCTGGTTTGCTAAATTTATGCAATTTAGGAATGAATAAGGAAAGTCTCCATGAACAGGCAACCATAGGCAGATTCCTAGACAAGGTCTACCTGATCTTCCACAAGAGTGAGGTAAGAATGACCTTAGGTTTCACAGTCAACTTCTTGACTGAAGTCTTCTTGACTATGATCTGACCGTATATGCTAATCTCTTCCCAGTTTTTTCAATGCCACTTTCTGAAGAGAGCTAGGCAGCACCACTCTATTCCTGGAAGGGGCTTTGGTGAGCTAATGTAGTGGGCATAGTTTAATGGCCTGGTAAAAATGAAAAGAGCACCTTACTTCTAAGCGGGTGATGTTAGTCATTGAACATCAGCATCAATGGGACAGGCTTAGTTTGTACTTGCTTTTTACTATTTTCTTCCAGCCATGGGTGTGAGGTTGCATTGACTAGGGGCAGCGCAGAGAACAGGGAAATAGGTTACACTCAAAGAGAGTTGCCCAGTCAAGGAAACTTGTGAGTATGCAGAAAATTCTTTTCTCCTAGTACAAACATCCGACTAACCAAAACAGCAAATCTGATTGACTTATCTGCTCTGACAGTGAGAGGTGTGTGGAGCCAAGCACACTTTGTGGGTTACTTTTATTTCATCCATAACTTGTATCAAGGCCTGGAAGAACTGGTAGCATAGTTACTGGGAGTGGGCTGGTTTGGTGGTGGGTTTTTGTAAATCTCAGATGGTTGCAGCCTTTGGAAAAGGATATTTTCATTTGGGCTGACATGAAGAAATTTGCAGGACGGAGGAGAGTTTTGGTGGTTAAGTGTTTGTTCTCTGTGTAATGGATCAGGAAATAAGTGACCACAGGCTCAAGTTGAAAGTGTTATTCATTGGTGAATAATGGTTCATGAGTTTATTGGTGGATATATTTCCATGACTCAGAACGGTGCCGTATGATGGCACTTCTTTAGCCTGTCTAAACAGATAAGTCAGTAAGGTCTTGCAATTTTCAGCATAAAACTTGAGACGATAGGTGTGAGTTTGGACAGTTAGGTGGGATAATGGAAGAGAACTGAGAACGATTTCTGGAAGGGGCAAGGATATTGTACTGTGAGCTTTGTAAGGCGTAATTTTTAGTGAAGTTAGCAAAAGGTTAGTTTGCAGGATCACTCCTGTTCCCATTGATGTAAATACCACTTAACTTATGGGAAACAATACTTCTGCTCCTCTCCATAAGGAAAAAACATGATCTAAAGAAGAAACACCTGTATAATAAAAGGAGCAGAATATGAACTTGTTTATGTTTCCTCTTCCTGCTTGTTATGCTGGTTCTGATACAGACATATTCATTCATATTAAATTGCAACATCAGTGTCACTATTTTAAAAGACTTTTTTTCTAATGTAATAATCAAACCTACTTCAAAATTTATTTCAGATAATGAAGGATATTCAGTGTGTTTTCGTCTGCCTTATTCCATATCGGATTTTTAATTTTATTCTTATCCCTCAAATGCATTGCCCCTGAATTTAGTGACAGAAATTAGGAGTTTAGCATACTAGTCACAGTTCTTCTGTGCTAGTGCCTTCATACGTAGGCTACCCTGCTTAAGTTAAGTCTCCACTGGGTTATGTGTTCCCTAGGTTGTAACCTGATAGTAACAAGGAGGGAGAAAACAGTGTAGCACGTTACTGACTTTTGCTTGAGATGGTAGGAGAAAAAGCAGTATAAAAAATTGAGCTTATGGGAAATAATAGGCTTTCAGGGGAACGGGGCAAGTTCAACCTTTTTGTGATGGGCAGTTTGACTTGCTAAATGATTGCTTGCACAGAACAGAAGGAAGAGGCCATGAACATGCCTGTCCGTGTCGAGCACTGCTTTTGAAAGGCAATGTATGTTATTCTTATTACAACCTTTGTTGACCCAGAAGCTGGCAGAGTGGGAGAGGTACGTGCTGGCTGAGAGCTGTGCAGCAGTTTTCAGGTAGATTCTTGGTCTAATAGTAACTTTCAAACAAATCTCTTTGTGTTGTTTTTTCCTAAATTAAGGATAGAAATATGGACTCCTGTGCATGTGTTTAAAAACAATTCCTCACAGCTTTTTTTTAAACAACAAAACTATCTGTGACCTGGTGAGTGAGGGCCAGGATGCAGTATGAGCTACCAGTTCAAGTGGAGCTACAAGAAGAATAGCCGCTTGATTCCCTGCCCCTCCTGCCACTTTTAGAGACGGAAGAGGTACATTTTTCCTTTTTCATCCTCAAATGTGATGTATTGAGGGTTTCCATGCGCTTACTGATTTTTAAGGCATGGGTACCTCCCCTGAAGGCACGTTCTGAATCAAGGCCCTTTTGTAAGGAAACACCAACTTTGGTTTTATTTTGTTAGCTTAGTTTCAAAGGTAGTTTCACTTTTGTTTTTTGGTTTCCCAGATCTTCCTGATTTCTGTACACACTTTCCAGCGTGCCTTTCCAGTCTTGGCTTCTGCAGCAATATGAGGAGGGGAGGGGCTGGTGCTTTGAGCTCCATGGGGGCGAGAGAGGATCTGACATGGGATGCAAGTCTTGTATCAGGACGTGAAATGACACCTCTTCTGAAGACAATCAGGAAGCCCTTACTAAAACTAAAGCAAGCATAAATAGTGATACATCCTCCCCCTTAGCCTCCCCTTTCCTATCTGGGGCTGGTTGCCATTTCAGGGACAAGAAGATCCATTAAAGAGACAGGGCGGTGCTGTTAGTGTAGTGAGTGAGGTCCTGCCAACACCGCTGGTAGCCGTGTGGTAGGTGGTTGCTTCTGCAGCCTCCCTGCAAGGGGATCGGGTTGGCAGCACCTGCTGCTTTAACCTCAGTACTTGGAATATCTTCTGAAGCGGTTTTGTCGGCACCTGTCCCACTCCTCATCTGCTGAGGCTCTCCTGTTGTCAGTCTCCTTGGGGTCCTTTAATAGAAGAGTGAGCTCAATGGAAGAATCACCTGTTTTTCTCTAGCAGTACTTTCAAACAGAGATACACTCTGCTTCGGACATGCAGATACACCTGCTTTTACCAAGGGTTGTGAAGGAAAGTCTGAAAACTATGCCTGTGATGTGTTGAGGTGTAGTGAACCTGCCTGGGAGATAGTACTGGAGGTTGCTTCTGTGCTTTGGTAGGCTCAGAGAAATTCCCTATAAATAAATTCTGATTTGAAGGAGTTGTCTATGAGGAAAGAAGAACAACATAGCTGCTCGCTAAAACCAGCCAACAGTTTGTTCAGTCAGCTGTCTTTTACTTCCCTGGGCCAGCATTTGATTACTGTTGACTATTTAGATCTAAAGAGTTACCTTTTCCTAAGTATACATATAATTTTTCAGTACTAACATTCTCATGCTTTTGTAGAGAACCTGCTTCCTGATTAATTTCATTTTTATGTGCAGTGGAAATAGAAAAGCCTTTAATTAACAACATTGTAGCTTTTTATTTCTTAAATGTGGTTGCACTGTAAACTGTCCTGCAGGTGCCTCAGGGTAGTCCAGCTCTTTATCCGTTAACATACTCTACAAAATAACTGCACAGCAAATTGCAGTCAGCCCGTCTTCTGTGACAGAAGTGTATATGGCGAAGAGTTCTTCCGTGGTAAAGGAGACAGCTGTCTTTGCTGGCCTTTTCAGTATCGCGACTGAATAGTTCTGGTATGTAAAAGTGCAGGCATTAGAAATGCAGCGGTGGAATTGGCAGCTACCTCTAGCAGGAAGTTTTTAAGTCTTCTGTGTGCTAGAATAGCATGAACTAAAATACCTTACTCTGCAAACTGTCAACACTGTCCCTACGTCCAGAACATACAGCTTTGTTCTTTACATATTTCCTTCAAATGAGTACTTTCTGTGTCCAAAACTATTTTTACAAAGCTTTGTCCTGTTACTGTTTCAGACTACGCTGGCACACATCATAGCCAACAGCAGCAAAAAGAATGGCACGAGGTTTGTGACACTGTCGGCCACAAGTGCCAAGACAAATGATGTTCGAGATGTCATCAGCCAAGCCCAGAATGAAAAAAGACTCTTCAAGAGAAAAACCATCCTCTTTATTGATGAGATCCATCGTTTCAATAAATCTCAGCAGGTATTGTACTATGTTGCTTTTTGGAAAAAGCCTTTGTCAGCACTTCTGTAAAATTTCCCACTTTGCCTTACTTTGGGCTTTTGATTTTAATGTTAATGGTTTTAGTAGATGAGTTAGGGAGAAACATGAAAATTAAATTCCATAACTAACTTCCAATCAATGTTTAATTATTGTGATTCAAAGATTTAAATAGAAGTCTGAGCTATACTTACAGTTGACTTATGTGCCGGGCTTTATATGACATTTTTCTGAAATTTTATTTCTGCAAAGTCATGTTAGTAGTGTTTGCTGTACGTATCTTCATTTCAGCCTCCTCCCCGGGGTAGCATTCTGTATTACCTTTAAAAAGGTCTGTAATGTGGATGTGCCTAGGGTGTTTGTTTTGTTTAATGTTCTCCCCTCTTCTCTGCGAGAAAAGAGACCATAGTACCATTAAAAAAAAAAAAAAAAAAACAAAGTTTTACCAAGGAAAGCTTGAATTCTGCGCTACAGGTTGCAGTTTCTATATGAAACCATACTCCAATCTTCCTATAGTTTTCTGAGCCATCCTATAGAATTATCTCAGGAACTGTAGCCCTAAAGATTGGTTCAAAGAGTATTTAGAAGTAGCCTCACTATTTGTTATATTTGATAAGGCAATTTCATGATATCTTATGTTTGCCAGGCAATAAACCAAATTCACATAAATAAACTAAAAATTTGCACATTTTTGACACTGTTTCTTTTCAGCTGGTAGGGTCATTCTCAGTGCAAGCACAAGTTATAAAGGTGAACAGCCCATAACGTGTTGTGTGTGTGAAATTAAATCATTTAGATAGCTAAGCAGATGAGCTGCCTTGTCAGTGAGGTTATTTGTCATATCAACAGGGAACCCAAAGACTCACAAGACACGAAAAACATAGCCTACTCACATGGGATGTTTCAGGTTGTCATTGATCGAGATCAGCTTTTTCTGCTTCCCTCCCATCCTCAGGACACTTTCCTTCCTCACGTTGAGTGTGGGACGGTGACCCTGATAGGAGCGACCACAGAAAACCCTTCCTTCCAAGTCAACGCCGCTCTTCTGAGCCGATGCCGAGTGATCGTCCTGGAGAAGCTCTCGGTTGAAGCGATGGAGGCAATTCTGATGCGGGCCGTCAGGTCTTTAGGGGTCCAGGTTTTGGGCCAGGACAACCAGCACGGCAGCTCTGTGACTGGCAGGAGCAGCGAGAGCTCAGAGTGAGTACTTTATGGGCTGCAGGGTGTTAACACACACAGCCCGAGGAATTGACTGCCTGCCAGGGAGAGAATGAAGCAGTTGGTGGGTGGGAAGAGAAACCCTAGCCACTTCTGATAGTAAAGAAAAGAAGTGGCAGCATATGGTAGGGGGTGACAGGAGAGAGAGAATTCAAAGCACTGGCTCTCTCCATCCAAAACATAATCTCACCGTCTGGATTAGGAGGAGAGTTTTATACTTGTATCTGTAGCTCCTGACTCACCCTCCCAGGATATTTAAATCTGTTCTGCTGCTGAGGATTTGCTGTGGAAGCCTGTAACTGGGTCTTTGTCATGTCCTAATGTGTGTTACTTGTTGTTACTGGTTGTAAAAGCATCATGTTACCATTAAGTGGTGTGTGGGGCATCCCCTCTTAAATTAATTTGTACGTGCCCAACAAAAGTTTGTTGTTTTCCGAGAATTTTTTTTTATAAGATCAGGGAGGATACTACTACTCTTTAGTTGCAGGATAAGTGTTGTGGTATGTTTTATGGTATACTGTGGGGAGAGGGGACTGTTGTTGTGAGGTGTTAATAGATTGTATTAAGATAGACTTTGTTTTTCTCTGCTCCTTGTTGTCCAAGCCAGACAGAGTCACGTTAAACATTTGGGAGAGTTTTGGAAAAAACAAAGGTCCAGATTTGTCCATCAGCGATGTTGTCTGCCTTCTGAAATGGCTAACTGGCAAATAAGAATAATGCTTGGTACTGCACTACTTTCATGCAAGTTATTACAGTTCCTTCACATTGATGCTTGTCTGTACTCCTAGTAATTTACAGTGTATTGACATGATGGTGATTGGGCAGGCACTCCATATGAAATAAATGAGAGGGAATCCACTTTGTCCTTTAGCTTTCTCACAGAATGTAAGCGCTAAGAATCGCTAACCTGAATGCTGAGGTCAGGGCAGCAAAGGAAAGCTATTCCCTTTTTATTTTTAGGGTACCTTGCCTCATGGTTTACTCATTTGTAGCTTTTTACATATTGTGGTAAAGTGAATTTTAGAAGAGAGGGCAGTGCTGCGTGTCAGCCTTAATGTAATGGCACAGCTGTGGTTGTGGGCTACACCCTGACTGGGGTTCAGAGACTTTCCTTTCTGTACAGGATTAAAGTACAAGGCATAGTTTCAGCTGCAGTTGTTTGGGTTTGGGTTTCGCTAGACTCTCCATATCTGTAACCTTCCGTTAGCTATGGATGATTTAAACAGCATGGTGTGGTGCTTCATCAAACTGAAAGAAGTCTGGCAGGCAGACTGTTTCAGAAATCTATCCATGGAGAGAGCGAGCGCCACTCCCATGGCTAACGTGGGAGCCAAGCATTTAAAAACAAAAATGGGGTTCAGAACTTAGGAGCATTTGTTGCAGTTGTGTGTTAAGTCTTTCTTGTCTTTCCTGCCGCTATCTGGTTCTGGTCTGTAGTTGATACATACTGTTGCTGATGAGTTTGGCTTTTTATAAGCCATCCTGCCCCTGACTGTAGTTCTGGTTTTGGTCTCCTTGGTAATTCCTTCTTGTTTCACTGTCCGTACCGTTTCTGCTCCTTCATTGCCTCTGCACCTACTACTCTGCAGGAGCAGCCATGTCTCGTCTTTTACCTCTTCACTTCCCTGCCTCTATGAAGCAGGGCTGTCATTACTTGCAGGCAGGTATCAGTGTTCATGCTGTCCTGAGGAATAAATGAAAGTCACCAATTACAGTTGAATTGGTTGTTCACCGTGCTCACCTTTGTTCCAGAGTTGGAATAGGAGCTGTAAGGCAGCATGTCCCCAAATGTGGGGCATGCCCACTTCGAAAATGCTGCAGAGATCTAGCCAGAAGGCACAAGAGATGTGTATATTGAATTTTGGATTTCATTTTCCCTTTGAGTCTCCCTTCCCAAACCACGGAAGTGCAGTATGAAGTCCTGCATGTGCTGCTTGGCCTCAGTTTATCAGGTGGTCTTGGTATCACATCACCTGTCTGACATGATGGCTGACCTCTATGAGACTTTGAAGAAGAGGATGATTCTTTGTGGTCTCTCCTGTTACCTTGAGGAATAAGGTGAGGGTGAATGTTCCTTAGTCTCTACAGGCATCTTCTCAACGCAATGAGCATACAGCTATCGCTGAGTGATTCAATAGGTTTCATCTTCTCTGCACTCCGTGCAGGTGCAGCGGTCATCAGAAGTAACGTGTGCTCTACCCGAATCTGTTTCCTTAAATTTTCTTGGTGGCTTTTTCTCATCTTGCTTCCGCCATTGCTGCAGGTTTCTGATAAGGTTAGGTCACCTGGCTTCTCTTCCATCTGGCTGTGGCCTTTTCTTGCTGTAAAGCTGAAATAGAACTAGCAGGAGTTGTTACCTACTTTGGTATCTTTTTCTTTGTTATGTCATCACGCTCATGAAACTTCTTTGACAGTTTTTATATTAGTTACTGTATTTCTTTAGGATAAGATGTGCTTTGTGTTATATTTTCATCAACTTTACTGCCATCAAATTGTGCCTCTTAAAGCCTGCAGTAAATTAAGCTGAAAGACAGGGGAACGTGAAAGGAAGAAATATACTTATGAAGAAGAAAAGTAAGGAGAAGTCAACGTTCAAGACACTTTATATTGCTGAAACTTGCTTGTGCTTTCTGCAGTTTACTCTGTTTCAGTAATAGCAAGAACTGTTCCAGGTGTACACTGATAACACTACACTTGCACTGTGTCAGTGATGGAGGAAATCAAATTCTTCTTTTCTTGGCTTTTTATTTTTATCATTCAAGTGCTGCCCTCAGAGTGGTATCTCTAATTGAAGTCAGACAGTAAACTGGATGGTGGATTAATGTATTTGAAGTTAGATAGCACAGAAGGCGCACAGCTGCAGGAAATAAAAGGATCCCCAGTTTCCTGTTGGCAAGCCCAGACATCATGCAGTTCAGCTTGTTAGTGGCTGTATTACAAGTACTGACAGGTTTTGAATTCACTGGTTTGTAAATCATAATGTTGAAGATGGGCATCCTCTGGATCTTCAGTGTTCCATACCTTTTTGAAATTTATTCCCTTTTTGGAACATCCATCTGATTTCCTTACAGCAAATAGAGTTGCTGAGTGACGACATTGAAAGACAATGCTGTGAGGCAGTGAGCAATGCATATCATACTGCAGTATTTCAGATGAAGAACTATCTTTGCCTGTAAAAGTGTTGCAATCTGTCAAGGAGTTAGCATAGTGAGAATAATTGCACTGAGAAAGTAAGAAAGTACTGATCTATATGTGAAAGAAGCAGTGGGTACTTTATCTCATGTTCTGCTCAATTACTTTTAAATCTTTCATTATACAGGTTCTTCTTGCTTGGACTTCCTTGTATTTACTCTCTGATATTGCTTACACCCTCTTGTCATTGGATCAAATGCTGCAGTGTTGTACAGGTTTTATGGGTAGTTCATCATACGTTTCATGTTGGTTCTTAGCGCAAACTGTCTTGAGGGTATGGAGATAAGGAGAAATGGGAAGAAGGATTTATTATCCTGTGGTGGTAGTTTTCCATTCCTTAAGCTAGTATATCACCTCCAGCTCAGTGAGTGATGGATCCCAGGGTGTCCCTTTTGGCTTGTTTATGTTTTTGTCTCCAAGTATCATCGGTTACAAGGTACCAACATTGAGCACTGGCATCCAGTGGGTGTTCAGTGTTAATTTGGGAGAGTGAAAAAAATACGAGATTGCCCATCTGCAAGAGGATCAGGAGCTTGGGAAGACGTCAGAAAGCATGGGAGTTATTCTGCCTTGCAGTTCTGGGGTGTGCAGAAGTTGGGTAAAGTGGAAGGCCGTAGGGCACTTGAGCTTCTGAAGGCAGGGTGGGCTTAGAACTGTAAAATACAGTGAGTGTCTTTTGCAAGCCAAAATACAAGGTATTGAAATAATTGTCATCCCGATATTGAAATTAGGCTCCTGCCTAGTGAAGTTAAATCATCAAAAAAATAGAATTTAAGATTTTAATTCCTCAGAAAAAAATAACTGAATTCAGTTATTCTGAGTATAAAATGTTGTTATTTTGAAACACCGAGTGTGAATGGAGCTGAGATCATGGAACAGGGAAGCATTATGGGATTTTTCCATCAGTGACGGTCATCAATATGCTGTGCAAACAGCGCTCAACACTTCCCCTCCACTTGCAGTCGCTGGGTGCGGTTGTGGGTATCAGTGTGAGGAGGCTTCAAGCGCATGTTGTTCTTCTCTGCAAGCAGCAGGCAAAGAGCTTAGTCCTTGCAGGTGAAACCTTCTCTTCAGTCTGCCCTGCCGGTGTATCCAAAGTGTTTGCTCAGTGTGCAGCATATTTGTTTTTGTTCCCTGTTGATAGAGGTATTAGCAGCAGGACATCTGTGTGTAGTGCCTGCTGGTTTTTTAAAAAACAGCTTTTGCTTTCTTCACTGGCTTCTTTCATTGCCTATAGAAAAATCTGCTGCCCATCTGTAATGCTGAGGGGTGAACATTGCTCCCTGATTTTTAAGGAATTTGATGCATGAGGTACTTGACTGAGTAAGTCCCTCTGGTATTATGTTCTTGTGCTTCCCCGTTCAAACACGAAGAAGGCGTTTGAAACACCTTGGAGAAAGTGCAGTTATTTTGGAGTTCCACTGTGTGTGCACGTTAATTTTTTTTTTCCTAGCTTTATTAAATACATGAGAAATAAGGAGATGGAAATAAAAGTATGAAAAGATGCATATATAGGTGTATAGATAGGTATATTTTTCCCACAGGATGCGATTCATGCTGCCTACTGTCTACAGGACGGGTTATGGCCCTAGCAGACATTTGTTGGACTTTGCTTGCAG